TAGAATATGAAGAACTATAATTTTGCCTGTGGATCTGTATGGGTGTGAAACTTGGTCTCTGACATTAAGGGAGGAACAAAGACTGAGGGTGTTTGAAAACAGGGAGTTGAGGATAATATTTGGACCGAAGAGGGATGAAGTGACAGGAGACTGGAGAAAACTGCATAATGAGGAGCTTCATAACTTGTACTTTTCTCCAAGTATAATTAGAACGATCAAGTGAAGGAGGATGAGGTTGACAGGGCATGTAGCACGAATGGGGGAGAAGAGGATTACATGTAGGATATTGGTAAGAAAGCCAGAAGGAAAGAGACCACTGGGAAGACCAAGGCGTGGGTGGGTGAACAATATTAAAATGGATCTTAGATAAAATGGGATGGTATGGATTGGCTTTATCTGGCTTAGCATAACGACCAGTGGAGGGCTCTTGTGAACACGGTAATGAACCTTCGGGTTCCATAAACTGCTGATAAATTCTTGAGTAGCAGCAGAATTGGCGGCTCCTTTAGAAGGGCTCAGCTCCATGAGTGAGTGAGCGAGTACTACATAAGTGATGGCCATTGGAAAAGAGGAAGCAGATGGATTTAAAAGGATAAACGAATGAATGAAACCACAAGGAGTTGGCCCTTCCGGCCCCTGCACTGCGACTTTCAGTGAGGTTTAAAAGGTTACATCGTCCCGATGGGTTTAAGTCTTAATGTGGCCATTCTGGTATCACGCATAGTACGACAAGCTTGGTTTTAGCGATTTGCCCCTATCGAGATCTCAACAGTGACCGTCGAAAACATACGTTTTGCCCATTTGTTTATCTCTGTCGTAACACTAGTATTCCAGTAAGTAAACTTCTTACCTCGTCAAAATGAGAGGTCACTATATCCCTCAGTCGGTCGAGGACAGATAATGTTAATATTTAGTGTAGTTTTCAAATCAATGTCACGCCATAGTCTTCTGAACCAGTAATTTCATTATGCTTTAGACGCTAATTACTGCATGAGGCATTTCGTCCATTTACAAGGTTTGTACCGGGTTGTTAAGGATATGCAATCGCTGACACGTGTGTTTCTAGAAGACATCGGAATTACGAACTCTGCTGACTGCAACATTCCATTGTTTTCCTCACTTCCTGCACAAGAATGAACACGTTTTTGCTGAGAATAGAGAGTCCGAACTAACTTGATCATCTAATCTCGAAGTTTAGTGGTTCGTATTCCTGTTAAGTATTCCGTGGGTTCCAAGTTATACAGTCTCAGGCATGAGACATACCGTTCGTAATTTCTGTCATGTTCTCCAGGGAAATACAGGCGTAAAACCCCTTCAGACAGACAACTACAACTTCCTTCTCCTCCCTTCCCAATCATAACTCATAATCACCCTGCTTTTCAACGGCATATGACTTACGAAACAGATGACTGCTACTAAATATAATTAATCAAATATTGGCTTTACACTCCATCCTTCACTCCCACTAGCCTCGTCTGCTCCTCTGTCCGTCCAGCCAATTCTTAGATAGTTTGTATGTGTCTGAAACTTCTGCTTCTGCCTCGCTGGCCTGTTCCCACTCAGAACTGATTATGATTTTATGAATCTTATAAACAATTGATAGAGTCGGGATAACTCAGTCAGTATAGGGACGGTCTACGGACTGGAAGGCTGGGTTTCAATTCTCGAGAGGGCCCAGACCGACTTTAGAACCCACACAGACACCTGGTGAATAAGTACTGAGGTCTCTTTCCCCGAGTGTAAAGCGGACGGGGAGTGAAGCTGACTACTTACCTCCATCTAGTGTCGAGGTCAAGAATGGTAGAGCTATATCTCCGCTTCCCCGTATGTCTTCATGACATAGTGCTTAATTAATTAAGCGCAGGGTCAACTTCTCTTTTACAGTGAGTTGGTAGGACTCCCTGGAAGGGGGGCCAGCCCGTTACAAGGCCGCTACCTCCACAGAACCACACTAACAGTGAAATAACGCAAACATTCATATATCGAGTGGGATTCAAACCCACGATCCCAGTGTTTTGGCAGACGTAAGTCATGTCTTGCCTTATACCCCGCGGCTACTACGATCAGTTGTATAAAATTTCGACTGTGCTCTTAAGGGAAGAAATTAGATTGAGGACATCTGAGAACAAGGTGCTGAGGAAATATTTGGACAAAAGGGGGGAGAAATAACATGAAAATGGAAATGCGGCACAGTGAGGAGCCTAATAATTTGTGATCTTCAGCTAATACTGGTGATAAAGTCAAGGAGGCTGAGGCAGGCGGGACATGAGGCACGCTTGAAAAAGACAAATTCATACAGAATTTTAACCAGAAAAATGGAGGCAAGATATAATCTCGGAGACTCAGTCGTAAATGAAAGAATAATATTAAAATGAATCATAAACAAATAGAGTATAAGTGTGTGAACTGGAGCCATCTGATACAGAATGCATAGCACATGAGGGCTGTTCTGAACATGGTAATGAAGCTCCGGTTTCCATTAAAGACAGAACATTCCTTGACCTACTGAAAAACTATCAGCTTCTAAAATGTGACTGTTCTCCATAGTTAGTGCTTTGAAACAGGACATCATCGCTCTCCTCTGTGTTCCTAGTATATTGATATTGTGTATATTAGTGACGCATCGTGCCTTTGCTTGGTCTGCAGAAATTCTGATGACAATCGCTAGGATTTTTGTGGTCGACAGGAAAAGCGTTAAAATCCTACTTCAAAATTCAACACCTTTACCGACTGAAATTGAATTCCTCGCAGCAATTGCCGTTTTTATAACAACACATCCTATATACCTTTTTTATTGCTAGTGGGGTGGGACTAAGTCCTTTGTACTGCGGCCACTTCTGGCCTATTGTACCAGTCCCAGATGATAGGTGAGAGTGATTGTGGAGCAATTGGTGGAATGAAGATTGGCAGGGGAAACCGAAGTACTCGGAGAAAACCTGCCCCAACGCTATTTTGTCCACCACAAATCCCAATTGATCAGACCTAGGATCGAGCCCGGGCCGCCGTGGTGGGAAGCCAGCGACTAACCGCATGAGCTATGGCGCGGCCCTTCCTATATACATTGCTATAAATCGTATTTCGTATATATCAGTTTGACAAATAAATATATGGCAAATAACAGTCTGAAATTTGACTTGGTTCATTCTGGTCCTTCACACTAGCAATAGTATAAAATATCATCAATTGATAATTTCTTTCTTTCTTTAATACGTAATTCATTCTTTACATGTTTCGGTCGGAGCGACCATCTTCAGAAGGACAAATCAATACACGCGGAAATCACTATTACAATGTCACTGATCACTACCAGTACACACGGATACCACCATTACAGTGACATGAATATAAAATATTAGCCTTTAACAATTACAGCGATGTTCTTGAATTTATTAAAACATTTAGTTATAATGATTTATAAAGGCATATATATATATATATATATATATACACACACGTGTGTGTGTGTGTGTGTGTGTGTGTGTGTACGTACTATGTTGTTCCACGTCTTAAACGCATTAAACGGTAACCTGCCCGAAATGGAAAAGTCATATTTAGGATCTATTGAGAGATTCCGTTATAAGTAGATTTTACGGTAATAGAAGATTGACTGAATTACGTGATTGGTTGTAAGAAGATGAAAGAACTATAGAAAGCGTTGGCTCACTGTGTATTGGTCATGAAGATTACTGCCGCTTCGTCACGGATCTGTAGCAACTCGGCGTACGTCCGGTGACCGTATACAATTATTACGATTTGCTTTCCCATTTTTTTTTTTTGAAGAGGGTACCGATACTGTTGATGCCACTGCCACATCGTTTCGTTGATTTCCGGATCCACCTGAAGTATCTATGTAGCGACTTATGTTCGATATTACTCTATCGATCGGCAACTGTTTGTCGTGGATTTACCATAACATAACTGTAAGAAATATATTCATGTATTGTTATTTCCATTAAACGTTTTTGGAACCACATTATTGGACGTATTGAAAGAAATATTCACTTAATATCATTATATATTATCGCTTCCAAGAGATTTCAGAGATGAAATAAACAGACTGACGAGGGAGATAGTTCAAATATAATAGAAGCATATAGCCCTCGTTATAAAAATTTCAAATAGATATATCAGCTTTTTAAGATATAGCAAGAAAACGCGCTGTTCTTGCTTATTGTAAACAAATGTAGTGTGAATGTTATTCATAATTTACATATTTTCAAAAAGATAATTAAAAATACCCGCTCAACACTAGGAAGTGCGGTATTTGTTCGCATTCTTTTCTACCATCGCTGATACTGCTACTATCAAGTTTCGATAACATAAACTTCAGTGCATGAAAGTGAGCCACTAAGTAGCGGGTTAGCTGATACACGTCAATATACACGTCAATTTGTTTCCACTTGGTCTTTGCCCAGGGGGCACGCGGTAGTGTAGTTGGTTGAGGGGCTATGCTACAAGTTGGAAGGTCGCGGGTTCAAGTCCCGATGAGGTCACTGGATTTTTTCAGTTGACCTAATCCTTCCAGCCGCACTATGGCCCTGGGGTTGACTCAGCCTCTAACAGAAATGAGTACCAGGAATTAATTAAATAATTTTCCTGGGGAGTAAAGCGCGGCCGGCGCGTAAGGCCGACAACCTTACCGCATCTTTGAGCCGATTTTCTAGATAATGTGGGACCCTCAACGTCTCATACCAACCATATGGGCCTTCACGGTCTGGTACAGGGATAGCTTTACTTACTTCTCTTCGTCTTTGCTCTTTCTTTGCTTATTAATGTTTATTTTTTTTTATATACGCAACTAATATTCGGCAAGGAGACTTTCCGCAACTAGTAGCGGCATTACTAACAAGTGCGCAAAACCGCGTCCCGTTATGGAGGGAAGTAGGGATGATTGTTTACTCCTACTCTCTAACACCATGTGATAGAGAGCTGTAACAAACCAATCTAGTATAAAATAGACCAACATTATGCCACGCTAATTCATTTTCTTTCTTTTGTAGGCGGAGTCTTCATTTTCTATGTCATATTCTTCTCTGCGCTGGCTGCCATGTTTGCTATCTGTATGAAAGGCATGCTTTGGTTCATGGATGACAAACGACCCAGATACCTATTGGATGATAGTATTATTGGCTCAAACCCAGGTATTACAAAGTCGCATTGCCTTTCTGGGCTCGATATGTTAGCATTTTCTAGCATCTTCGGTGTATTTTTACACTACTTTTTGTATTTTATGGGGCACGCAGTAGCGTAGTTGGTTGAGGCATTATGCTACAAGCCAGAAGGTCGCGGGATCAACTCCCTGTGAGGTTATTTGATTTGTTAATTGGCCTAATCCTTCCAGCCGCACTATGGCCCTGGGGTCGAGTGGGCCTCTAACAGAAATGATTACCAGAAATCTTCCTGGTGGTAAAGTGCGGCCGGTGCGTAAGGCTGACAACCTCACCGCCATCTATGAGCCGACTGTCTAGAAAATGTGTAAGCCTCGACATCTCACAATCTTATGGGCCTCCAAGGCCTGTTACAAGGATAGTTAGTTAGTTATTGGAGAGGGTGGGTTTCCCCATGCACTTAGACCTGTATTGGTCCATTGTGCTTCCCTCTATGATTTCTACCAGTCTCTATATCCTACCGGTACTGGTGCTTACAATCAGTCCCGCCCAGCCAGCGAGACCGGCTCTACTTGCTGAGAGGTATCTATAATGCTTCCCCCATCTACCAGAGGTATTAGAGACTGCTGTTGGGCGGGAAACATCCGTAATTTGGCTCAGTGACCTCCTTTGGAGATATGAGGTTCTTTTACCTGCCGTAAAGCTACGACACGGGACCCACGGCTTAAAGTCCCTCCCGGAGGACTTGTTCCCTGAATTTTTCCGCCCTTAAAAATTCGACGACCTCCGCCGGGTATTTGAACCCGCGTACTACGAGTCATGAGGTGGGAACGTTACCTCTAGACTACGGAGGCCGCTTGTTACAGGGATAACTTTACCTTATATTTTTGCGTGTTTTATAAGGAAAGCTTCGTCGAAGTTATCATGTCCATCCACCCACAGTCTACATGTCCTGCCCTAATATGCTGGAATCAACCGATAGATTTTCATGAAACTTTCTATACTTATCCCCTCCCCGCAGATGTCATCCGATTTAGGAACTTTTAATTTTCTCGGATAGCTCAGTCACTATAGGGACGGCTTCTGGCTGGACGGCCAGGATTCAAATCTCGGCAGGAGCAAGATCTTCAATTCTCCACGACGTCCATATCGGTTCTGGGGCCCAACCAGCCTCCTGTCCGATAGATATTGGGAGCGGTTGATAATTCTCCTCTGAATCTTCCAATATGGTTATCAATTTATGTAGGATACTTACATACGGTCATGTTCAACATACAGTGTTATTAATTTTGTTGCTAATGTACTGCACTTAATTCCCCAAATTCTCTAAATAACATATAATAACATATATCATTTTTCAACTTGCATTATAGCAGTTATTTAAATCTTTAGCACTGGTTTCCAACCAGACTGGGGGTCCATGTAGCCCTGTAGTCCAGTGCTTACCAGTGGCTTTTTTTTTCTGGGGGGTATAGCAACTGGGGTGTTAAGTTGACCGCACACCGCCAGCTAGTGTCTAAGTTAAGAATGCATGGAGCTACACCTATATCTTCATGGCAAGATTCTTAATTCAGAGGGGAAACTTGCGGAATCTCCACAATAATCCACTGTTTCTTGTACAGGTCTTGGCTTTCGGCCTATCTCTGACGAAGTGTCTGCTGGAGCCCTAATTTGGTACCAGGCATCTAATGAAAGTAACTACAGACGCTGGACTGATCAGCTGGACAAGTTCCTAGAGCGTATGTATATAACACTAACCAAAGTTAATAATATAGAAATTTCTTAGAATGTCAAACTACTGTATTAGAAGAAATAATGCCTGATTTAAATTTATCATAAATATGAGTTGATTTTCAATTTTATCAACACTTCCATATGTCCCTAGACTGAATCTAAGTAAAACTTGTATAAATATTCTTGTGTGTAGATAAACCTAAATATTATAGGCCTGTAAACAGGATTGGCAAGGGGAGTAAATGCGGAAGATAGCGCCTGCATACTCCCAAAATTTGTTTTTAAGATGCCCAGTGTCTAAAACCATTCTCAAAAATGAAACAAGCTTTCCAACTGATTCTGTATAGTGCAATAGAACGTCACCAGCGTTTCAGAGGAAACTACTGCCTCCATGTTCAGGGGACAAGAGTAAGAAGATTGCTGTGTTCTGAGATGTGAAACCAAGGTGCATCACATCCAAAAGATTATAATATTAATCTATTATAATTGTATTTTTGCAAAACTGATTAACTCTGTTTGAAGATATAAATTATGTTTTCTTTTCTTTTTCTAAATGTGCACCATACTGGAAATATTTCTTATGAATAGTAGAGATCTAAATCAAACAGATTATTTTTGTGCTTATTTGTATGATGACCTTTTCTGAAAAAAAAAAAAAAAAAGTCCTACATTTCATTGGCATTGTGTGCAAGGTAATGACATGTAATCAAAATCAGTTCAGTGAAATGGACCAACACAGTCCAGACTGAAATTGTTCGGTCACTTGTAACACTTCACACAAAGAGTGTATAAACCCAGTGCAACAGCACAGGCGAACCAGTAATATTTCACAAATTTTTATTTTTTTAAGTCAAAATTAATTATTGAATATCTTTTATATCATGAACATTAGTTAGCAGTCATTTAACATATTGTGCAGCACTGTAAATATTGTTGTTTTAAGAGTAATAATACCACTGATGATTTTTGTTACAGTGTCTGGAAATTTTGTTAGTAATTATGACAAAATTCTGAGAAAGTTAATCTATTTCATACTGGAGGTTGGGTGGCAAATTTCGCATCACCTGAGACCAGCATTTAGATTTTTGCCTGCCCTGAATGTTAGCACATTATTTCCAATGACATTCATTTGTTTATGCATTATGTCAGCATCCAAAACAAGGGAGTGTGAATGTACACCAATGGAGTAAAATACTTTTCCAAATTTGTTCTTTTTGATTTTGCATGCCATTACCATATTTGCATGATGTTTATTTGTTGTAAATAGAATTTTATTATTGCAAATGTGAACACATTGTTATGAAACTAATCACATTACAGATATATTGAATAAAAAATAAGCACAGATCTCAGCAAGTGCTATATTCTGTGTTAAATACCAGTTTCTATACATTGCCACATTCTTGATGAACCTCAAAGTTTAATTTGTGGTTGATATGATCACTTAAGCTAAAGTCAGATTTACCTATAACTTTCAGTGTATATGTATATCCTCAGTATTATATTTCATTGATATCCATTCAGTAGTATAGGAGGTGGAACAAATGAACAGAAAGACAAGTAGTATGTGTTGGAGTTATGCATTTCATTCACAGAACGTAGCAAAATTATAGAACAGTAAGAATTATACATCACAGTTAGTGAGAGCATGCAATAACTTGAGATTCCTATGCAGCTTTCTTCAAATCATAGAATGATGCATTTTATTTAATTTGTTTTAAGGGCTATTAGTGATTCTATGAGTACATTGACTATACAACATAAGATTGTAGGTTGGTAAGTTAATAATGAATTAATTACAATGGATGTGGAAGGAAATGGTCATGACCACATTTGCAGAGGTATCCTGGCATATACAAACATGGACTGAAGAAAACCACGAACACCCTCAGTCAGTATTGTTAGTGTCATCACCAGAATTCAAACTAAGCACTTTCCAAGTCAGAAATTTTAGCACTTAAGCCCATTTGTTTGGCAGCATGATGCACAATCTGTACTAATTCATGACATTAATTTCCACGGGCAAAAATTGTTCCTGTTTCACAAGTCATACATGTTCATATTATCATTACAGCATGTTACAATAATATTGTTTATTTAAAATAAAAAATTAATTTAAGGCTACATTAATTTGCTTGTAGTTGTCTCAACGCCTTACTTCTTCATGTATAATAATGGTAATTCAAATAATAGTACATGGGGTCTACATTGCATTACAAGGCATTACGTGTTTGCAGCATACCATGTGGCACAGAAACTTCCTGGAGGAGGAAAGAATCAGCAAGTATGTGATTTTGATCAGCCTCCTCAGGATGGTAAGGTGTGTGAAGTCAACGTGAAAAATTTTCAACCCTGCACCATGGAGATGGGGTATGGTTTCAACAGATCATCTCCCTGTATCTTCATCAAACTCAATAAGGTGTGTAATAGTTTCACTCATTCACTTCTACTCATTTGCCTCTTCATTATATTTATTTGTCAAGGAACACAATTATCTCATTCACCATATCTAGACTCTTTTGAGTGCTTAAGGAAAAACCACAGGAAGTAGTTACCTCCTTGGCAGAACAGCACTCGTAATGAGAGCAAGTCTCTTGTAAAAAAAAGATTCAACAGTCCACATCATTTCCTAATCTTTCACACACTGCACAATGTTGAAAACGATTTACAATGAGCAACAAGTTTAGTACAGTTCATTTAACTGCTAAAATTTTTGTGACAGTACCATCAGTATTATTACTGGTACCAAAGAATCTTGATCAGACATTCTGTGTCATTCTAAATACTTTGCATGAGCACTGCCAACAGATTCATAATTTCATCATGACTCATCCCTCCACTTGTATGCCATTTTATTTTCATAGTCTCTACCCACCTTAACAAAGATGGGGTCACATAGGAAGCATAATTAGTACATGTTTTGAGCCATAACGAAAGTCTGGTATTAGTCATATTCACAAAGTTTACCTTCATCAGGCGAGGGAATGGAAATACATGCAAAAAATAGCACTAGATATGTCTGGCATTGAAACTCATACCTCTGACACATAAGTTCATGTCCCCATTGCTTGATAAGGATTCATTCTATTTTATAGATCTATGGTTGGGTGCCTGAGTTTTATGAACGCAACAAGCTGCCTGAAGATATACCTGAGGACCTGAAAATCCACATACTTAAAACAAATCCTAAAGAAGTAAGTGAAGATGTTAGTTTATAATGCTGAATATATGTATCTTAAATCAAGATATTTAAAAGTAATATTTTTCCTCAAGGCTGTTTGAATAAATTAAGAAATTCTAGGTAAGTTATTTTGAGTTATAGTTATACAGAATTCTTTCACATGGTTATCTTAAAAGTTTATTCAAGATTTCCTGTTACATTTCTCCCTCATATGTCAAACTTGGTGAAAATAATACACTGCTGTTACTAACACATACCTCATTATGTTATTAAAACCATATCATTTTCATAAAAGAGGTGTTTTAACAATATTTGATGAAAATAATATAAAGAAAATAAATTAAGTGATGATAAACATCTGTCTTCTTGGATGTGTTGCCGTATAGTCTGGTAGACAGCTATCAATGCTTTGGAGAACTTGCTGATACTGCATTCAGGGTAGAAGAGTAAGCCAAGAATTTCTCCCAAAAAATATTTGCATAATCAGAGAAATTATTATTTGGACAAGTTCTGTTACCTTATATGGAAAACACCAGAAGTTTCCTAGTCCCCTAGAAAAATAATACCAACATATAACAAAAACAAGAATATACAAATAATGGAACTGGTTTGACCCAGAAGGCTATATACAGAGAAATGTAGGAGTTATATGGGAGCACATAGTACAGAGGCATATGGGCTTATCATGTAGTACATATTCTACTTCATACACTGAAGATCTGTTGAGATTTGAATAACTTCTCATATATTTTACTCAGGTTTTGGAAAAGTTGGATTGGATCTGACTAATTCAATTATTGTTTTACATACTGCTATATTTTTTATACTTTGCCATATTTTAATAGAATTGTACTTGCAGCTTACATATGTTTCAGTCAACTTTCTTGTGTATCACCTGATAATGCCCACACGAGATTAAAAATATAATCAACAATAAGAAATAAAAATCATTAAGTTTTTTGGTATAAATTCATGGAACAGTTATTGTATGACTCATAGTGGGAATTGTAATATTTAAGTCTTAAAAATGTCAAGTGTTTGGATTTGAATCACAGAAATTATAACTTCATTCCAATGATATTTGCTGTCATAACATATTTGAAGATTAGCCTTGAAGCAATGTTAGAAGTACTGCTAGGCCCATCTATTCTAATGAATAAAAGGGAAGCTTTTTTGGCTTCTTAAACACACAGTCTGAGGTATTGAGACATAAACAATGATAAATCATCTTTTTGTTGTAGCTGAACCAAGTATGGGTGAGCTGTAAGGGAGATAGCCCTTCTGATAGCGAGAATATGGGACCTATCAGTTATATTCCAGGCCGAGGATTTCCTGGATACTATTATCCTTACACAAATATAGATGGATATCTCAGTCCTCTTATTGCAATACATCTAGCCAGGCCAAAATGTGAGTCAGTTATGTTACTTCTCCTCTATCTCTTAAGTTCTACAATTTTTTATTGCTTATTTATTTTTATGTCCTAAGCTTTTAATGGTATAAGGCCCATATAGTTTCATAAAATATTTTTAAGTTATTTATTACTTAATTAAGTGGATTTAAGAAATATTTGGGTAAAAATTATGCATATTTGTTGTTTTATACTCAGTAGTAACATTTCATCATGACTATTCCTTCTATTTTCATATATTGGTTTTCATAATGTAATTTTAATTGAATTTCTCTTTCAGTAAATACTGTGATTAACATAGAATGCAGAGCGTGGGCCAAAAACATAAAATATTTCCACCAACAAGGCCACAGACAAGGTTCTGTTCTTTTTGAAGTAATGATTGACTAGTCAGCATGGTGAATACATTACAGGTACCTGTACTTACTTCTGCCATTACATTTTCCTACCTGAATACCAGAGTTGACAAAGGAACAGATGTGTGCACACCTAGTCAGGCATGGAAATACTCAAAGAACATAGCTTTTATCACTATATAATTTTAAACAAATGATTTTAACTTAAAAGTTTTAAATTAAGTCACAAGTGACATTGATACAGCACAGTTGTTTCTCAATTATATTTTTAACACACTTCACTTGTAGGAGGTACAGTCACAATATGACAAAGCTGCCCAAACATAAAACCTCATATTTAGCTGCAGCCTGCCTGCAGATATCTCCATTTTTGTTCCATGAAAGGAAAAATGGCACAACTTTGAATCGCTGGGAGTTCTGTCTTAACACTATGTAGCCTATTGAAAGTTAGCTGATATTTCAGAGGAATGTATTGCATCCATCTTCTGGGTTGAAGATAAGCCAAGCAGTAAATCATCATGAAGAAAGCAAGCAGTCTTCAACCCTGAATATGAAGTTGATTATGTTCCTCCAAAAGGTCTGTTCACTTTCAAAAAACTACATGGAATTTTGCCCCAGAAAATAAAGCTCTTTGTTACCACTGCCTTGGGAACTTCAAATTTAATTTAAATCCCTATTTCACCAGAGGTGGTAGGAAAAGTTTGTTTTGGAAACCCACAGACTCTCCACACTCCCTGAACTTTAATCCCATTAGCTAAGGATTATGTTAAAGACAGGTGGATTATTTTGGTTCTCTGTGCAACATATAAGTTAATATCTTCAATGCCATTGCTATATAAGTGCCAGAACCTTCTTTTGTATGATTTCTACAGTAAGTCTAAAGTTCTGTCAAAATTCTGAACTATATATTGGTTTAACTTTCATTCTGATTCTCTGGAATTTCATTTCTACAAAGAATAAAAATTTAACCAGAGAGGAGTGTTAGCAGGGAAGTGCATATGTAACTGACTACATAGTTTACATTTTACTTGAGTAGCAAGTAGTTATGCAACTAATCCAGAAATTCCTTCTTGTAATGAAACCTCAAATTTCACTGCTGTCATAAAAAATTGTCATTGGGCCCCATCCTGACCTAATTAATTAACTTTTCATCTTCACTACTGGTACCTTTTCTCTCAGATCTATTAATTATTATCTTTCTAAATACACCTATATGCATGAGCAGAGTTATGGAAATATTTTGTCAAAGTAGAAATGGAGCCAAAGAAATTTAAACCTGAAAACACTGGGATTACCACTGTGCTCATCTTTGTGTTCTGTGTATTTATATACATAGAAGAATATATAAAATCTGCTTTGGTTGTTAACATTTGTTGTAATATAAGGTAATATATAAACTGTGATACCTTTGTATTTTAAAATGCATACTGTAAAATTGCCCAATAATATATTCAACTGCGAGAAGTAATTTTCCTAGAATGTGCCTGGGGAGAGTTTTTGTTGTTGTTGTTGTTGTTGTTGTTGTTATTATTATTATTATTATTATTATTATTTACCTTTTTTGCCATCTTCTAGATTGTGTGACATTGTTATCAGTATCATGATTTTTGTATTATACATGCATTACTTTATTAGTCTTTCTACCCTTAAAAGTTATTTTCTTTACAACTATTCTTCTCTATAATATTCAGAAAATATGAGAATCAGTATTACATTCTGGATATTAAAGATATCAACGTTTTGCTGAGAAGCATTTAAAATTTAAAATCCGTCTTTTCTAATAAGTGTTCAACATTTCATTATATTTAAATATACAAAAATCATTATATTTTAATATCCACAGTAAACTTTGGAATTTATAAAAAAAATGACTATTTTAACATTTTATTAAAGAGTTAAATTTTAAATTTATATTCTGCACAGGTACACCATTAAATATTATTGTAAAAAATTTAAATGTAAGATTATTTCAGAAAAATATTGAAACATAAACTGGTAATTTTTTCAAAACATCTGCAATATTTTATAGAGGAAATAAATCTAACCAACTCTACCATACATAAAAAAGGAATGGAAATGAGAAAGTTGGTGCATTTGTAGCATTCATGGATAACTACCTATGACTATCAAAACTTCTTAATGTCATAAATATTTTTTGCAACAAATCTCTTAACAGATTTGAAAAACATCACATATTTGGCACTCAGGATGATGGAGTGAAATGCTTATCTGGACATGCATAGAGTCCATCAAACAGGCAAATTTAGCAGTCCAATACTACTCTTAAAAGAGAGGCACTGGAAAAGAAATTTGGAACATGTACAGGAATGTCAGAAGTGGTGGTTGAGGGATGTAGTGAGTTTCATATTGTGGCATATTTGAATAAGGCAAGAACTGTGAGGCAAGCAGAGACAGCGTTGCTAGGGAGAGGCTCTGCAAACATGCCTGTTGCTAGACAACAGATTCTTAACATGCATCAATGTAGTAACTGGGAAGTGGTGTTTTTTACGCAGTCCATGTGACAGCTACATAATGCAACAATAGAAGCGGTGAGAGACATGTTTTCTATGCAACCTGTGCTGAGGCTACATAAGGAGTCGATTGTTATCACTGAGTGAGCAGTGGCATGTGTGAAGGCAGATTCAAATACCTTCACCATAGCCCAGCGAGTCATAATGGGTGAAGAAAAGGGAACCCAGTTACTAAGGGTATAACTGGGCCACTCTGTTCCTAGGGAATATAGTATATACAAGGACCTGGCCCTGCAGGTTGGGGGAGTCTGGAATCTGATATGGTTAAGATTTGGTCATGAGCCCCACAAGATTCGGACTTGAGAATTACTGTGCTTGTGAAGGCCAGAAACAATTGTGGACAACAGACTCATCCTCTTGTCAAAGAGGACGCTCCATATCAACACACCTATAACTGATTTGCAGTAATAAAATTCTGATCTTTGGCCCCAGATGGATGCTGGATACCAAGACAGAATGGCCGACTAACTGTCGGTCATAACATAACTTTGTCTTTCACTCTGATGTGACAATATGTAATAGTCTAGTACTAGATGTATGAGTTTGACCTTCACTCCATCCTCAAGACATAAAAATATCAATATTTCTGAATTTCCACATAGTATAACATGAATGGAAATTTGATTGAGTCTTCTATATTAAAACAGTCCTGAAAATATTAAAGCATTTCCTTAAATATTTCATAACACTATTAAGGCTAAGTATAGTATAATTAATGTGGATTAATTTGCAGTTCTGTTCCAAATATTAACGTAAGGGTAATCGTATTTGTCAAAATTATAACAATTTAAAAATGACCATTGAGAGAGGTAGTGTTAATTATTGTCATAACCTATACCATGATGTCTTGGACCATCTGAACTGTTTGATCTCCAGATTTGAGGTCAAGTCTTCCGGCATTGTTGTGTCTTCCTACCTTTCTTCTCCCTGTCAGTAGATACATGTTTTTAATGTGTTATTTACTGTTGCTGTCAGTATCATGACTATATATATAGATCGTTCATAAATATGGAGCAATTGGTGGAATAAGAAATTGACAAGTGAAATTGAAATATTCAGAGAAAACCTGCCCCAGTGCTACTTTGTCCACCACAGACTTCATAAGACCTGACCTGGGATCGAACACAGACTATCACAGCGGGATTCCAGTGTCTAACTGCCTGAAATGTGGCACAGCCAACCTATCAGTTTATACAACTCTTTATTGACTGTCACGACACAACAAACAGAAAAAATCAAGCTATGTTTCGCTACATGTTTCAGACACTAATGGCCATCATCAGGCAAACACATATTAACAAACATATATCATTGAACTGCAGTACATTAGATTGGATACAATGTTATTAATCATTTAAAATACTTTGCGTAAAAATACAATAAGTCAGATTATATAAAAAACTAAAAGTTATTGTATAACACAAGATAAAATTGATGTTATATAACATTGAATCAGTCAATATTTTACTTTTCATACGTTTCCATGGACAAATTGGAAATTCAATATTTCTTTTATATAAGAATGCATAGGAGGCCCATGATGTTGCAAATTAATTAATTGTATAGTCAGTGCCTCATCTTACGGAGAATTGTCTGTACTGTATGGAAAGTAAACAACAAGTCATTGTTTACTTCCATACAGTACGGAGAATTGTCCGTAATGTATGGAAAGTACATTAATACATTATTAGCCAAAAGGTGGGAAACGTCTGTAACTTATGCATGTTATATGTAGTTCAAGCTAATGGATGGAATCCCACGTTACTTAAGTCTACCAACATGATAATTCATAGTTACAATGTTTTACATACATGTAACAACAAAGAATGCTACTCAGCTTTCATACTGAGTTACTATAAGATTTGGGGCACTTCAATCTTAACACAGTTCCATTAAATTTATTTAAATAATTTTCAGTAACTTAATGTTTGATAATTTAAAGTTAAAATAAAATTAACACACAATGCATATTTTATTCCTCCACATTATGACTTATGTCATAATTGACATAATTGATGTGCAAGTGGATGGTGAATAAAACCCATAGATTTATTTGGAATCTTTGCCACATTATTTAAGCTCGTTATATTCTGATACTGTGCAGACTCTTTTGAATATGGTAATGAACATTCAGATTTCATGTAGTGCTGAGAATTTTTTAATCAGATGAACAAAGTACTCTGCTTCAAATAATTATTCTGAGTCTACAGCATAAGAGCACTTAATTTAAACACAGTGGTTTATTGTAGTAAGGATAGCATGATACATGTCATTTTACTACATTCTACTAAGTTGAATAATGTGATGGTATGATACTATGAAGTTCAGCCTGAAAATGTAATGTTGTGTGTTCCTGTACTAAGGAAAGTTATGTATTGGAAATGGCTAGTTAGTTACATTATTATTAACTCTTTCCTGGCCTATGCATCTGAAGATGCCTCATTCTAGGATTTCTGCTTCGGGTTGAAGCCTCTGTTAAATTCTCAGATATCTCCTGCTATCCTGTGGATAAGTGATTAACTAAGTGAAAAGTTATTCGTGTTTTTGTCAAAAGACATAAAATATTTCTTCACATCATAAAATAAAAGGCTAAAAACTAGGAACCCTTGGTTTCAGAATGGGGGAGGGAAAGGGTTTCTTTATAATTTATACTACCCAATCTATGCAGGTGGAAATATATAAAACAATATAGCCATTTTAAGTTCTTTCTCAGATTTCTTTCCTTTCATCTGTGGCTGTGAAAGGATCACATATGGACTATATATATATATATATATATATATGAGGTTCCTACTCTGTTTATGTGAAGTCAATAGCACTTATTAATATTTATAGTCCTATAATGTAATGTGATGTTTGTTTCATTGAGATAATTTTCAATGTAATTACTCATTTTAGTGTTACAACATTGTATTTGATCTGCAAATCGATCTAGAATTTAATCTATGGGGCAACTGATGGTTTTTTCCATTCAGGATCATTGTTTAGCTTCATTTCAATTAGAACAATAGTGTTTGAAACTTGTTTTCATATCAGGAATATTTTAATTGGTTTTATGTGTTTTTAATTTGAAATGTAAAGAGACATTCACATACATCATATTAGTGTCATCATGTACTATACACTAAGTCATAAATTAACTGTGCTCTTTCTGTTTATGCAATAATACATACATTATAGCCAAAGATGAATTCAGGCTCTTACTATTCTGTACATAAGTATATTTTTTGTGAGATATGCCAGTCATTACATAATACTGGGTTAAACAGCAACAGACTTTCAGGATTTTGCATGTTTCATGAGTGTAAGTTAAGTAGTAAGTCATGAATGAGCAAGAAGTCTTTTGTTTCACTGTATCATGTCTGTTTCATGCGTTTTGATAATATTTTGATGTGTGTATGTGAAATAAAGTATAGTATACAAAGGATATGGTTTATGATTGATTATTTATGCATATTATTCATGGAAGATGGTGTTAAACTTTAACCTCAGTTATCAGTTGATAACATGTAGGACTGGAGAGGAATACAGGTGACAGCAGAAAATTTTAATAGCACAAAAGCCTGTATAACCAATGATGTAACACTTTATTGAATTCTCAATGAGTGTTATGCTAGTAATTCTTATATTGAAGCATTCTGTTACGTTGTTATGATACCACGGATGGGGGTGGTCTAGGGTTCCTGTTCGAGGATGGGTCCTTAGGGTACTGCCCCATGCCGAATCATAATGAAACACCTTTCTTTTATCTAACTCAAAAGAAAGTAACATTTATTAACTCTAAATAAACACATAATGAAATCAACAAATTAGGTAGTTAGTCTGGACACTTCTTGCTAACTTGCCATCACCTCTTCTCGTATGCTGAGGTTAAGCGGCCAGGCTGTGACAGATCTCTACTTACAGAGTATGGTAACTGCGATGATGTACATGATGTCTGGTAATTGTGGAGACCTGTGGTCAGCCTGCCTTCTACAGAGAACCCTCTAGGTGCAGCGGCTCACCCTGGAGGATGGACCGTCTTTCTATTTCAAAGCACTTGTGTTGACTGTTAAGAAGTGGTCCTCACTTCCTTTGTATAACCCTTATATACTCTATGTTTTCCTCAGACACATTGTAACAAAGCTTACAATTGGATGGTTCTCTTTCTCATCAATTTTCCTATTTTCTAAACTAACAGGCGATTGCTTCATTCCAATTATGCGTCATAAAGGAACGATTCATCAACTTGTGACATTAATTCCAAGTTCCATCTTTTGTAATTTCTATTCATCATCTTAACCTGAGTCGCTTGCTTTATTGTGCAAACGTATGTGGTTTGACTTCCAGCTCTACTCACTCTGTGTTTTTCCCATCCACATCCTACATCCTGTGGTCTGGTTACTTCACACAGTTCTCATGTACATTTATATATGTGTCCATACAATTGATTAAAGAATTACTAATATGTGATCAATACATATTTCTTAATACCTTTGTCCTTATATAACATCCTTACATATATATTTCGGGTAAAACTGTTTCATAACAACATATTTATTCGCAGTATTTATTCATAAAAACATCTGACAAGCTTAAATTACAATACTGATACCCCAGGTGCAATATAGAATGCTACATTTTTACTACATTTTTTTTATATGCAACAGATAACATACTCCTATATTTTAGTAGTTCCACAAAGAATTCATGATTGAGATTATTATTGTTGTTGTTGTTGTTGTTGTTGTTGTTGTTATTATTATTATCTCTTAACAGTGAAAGTGATAGGAGTTATCTTCCAAGTTTAAATTTTGTTATCAAAGTTAATGTCAGAATTAAATTTGGCACTATGTTACAAGCCAGAAGGTTGCGTGTTGGAGTTCCGATAAGGTGGACTTTTTACAGTTTATTTAGTCCTTCCAGCTGCACTATGGCCCTGGGGTTGACTCGGAAATCTTCCTGGGTGGTAAAGGGCAGCCAGCATGTAAGGCTGACAACCTTACCATCATCTGTGAGCCGACTGTCTAGAGGAAAATTGGGAGCCTTGACATCTCACAACCCTAAGGGTCTTCATGGCCTGTTTCAGGTATAGCTTTTTTTATAACTGCGGCTTAAAAATTAGTGATTAAAAACTTTTGGAAGTTAAAATTTTTTCCAAAGAGGAGGTTAGGAGTAACTATAACATTTTTAGAATTTTATGTAATTATATTTCTGTTATTCTTTTTAAAGCATGTCTTCAAGATGTGTTTGTCTATTGTTTTGTTGATACATGTGCAATAAATGGAAATAGATGCAGTATTTACCCCTCTGCCATGGACATTCAAGCACACTGTAGACAGAAATATACCATGTGTTGTTCGAAATTCAACAGCATTCAAGAGGGTGAGTTAAAGACACAGCATTGAACTGTACTGTCAATCTACCTCAGCCTCACTAGTCCACTGGAAAAATTACTTGCCTATGGCAACTGGACCATGGAGCTGTAGGGAAGGGGAGAGAGAGTTTACCAGATTATCCAGTGAGGGTGCCATCTCAGCTGGCCACAGTTGTTACCTAGAGAAAATACTTGGAGGTTTTGCCCCTCTGAGTTTCCTCTGGCTTCCCTATCTCCTGATGGACTATCCATACTATTCTGGAGTGTCAGACCCTCTGTCAGTGATAAACAACAAGTTATATGGCCTACAGTTCTGCAGAGGTACTCCAGATGGCCAGATCCATTGCTATGTAATTAAGTAATCACCTCACATTGCCACTCTCTACGATTATTCAACTTCTCTTAGTAACTCAGAGTAGGAACATCAGCACTGTACACAACTATTATTAAGGGATTCATAGTTATTTCAAGTTTATGAATAAATAGTGTGATGAACTTATGCATTTTACACAATTCCAGGGCAATGTACAAAATATCAGAAAACTCCCAATCTGTGTGGCAAGTAGAAATAACATATGCTGCTATATGATATACATTGCCTTGGTGGTGAACATAAATTCTACAATGATTTAAACAGTTTAAATGATTATACAAGTATTAGTTTGTACTGAATATTTGTATTGATGGTAAAGTAAATGGAATCTGTAATTTTACTACTTAACAATCTACCCATTGTAAATATTGTCACAGACTACAAACCTTATGACAATAAATTTGAATTGTACTAAAACTGTTGTTATTGTTGGTTGGTTGGTTTCCAATGGTTGCATTTGGGATCATTTAACCCATATTGCTTTATTGTTTCAGATATTATTAATATACTTACATCAAATCACATAACATGTCTTTTCTATTGTATTATGTTAAATGGTAACTTCGAACTGAACACAATGGCATTTTATCAGGAGCTTGCTCATGCACTTCGTGATATTCATGTCTCATATGAAACAGGTCCAGTCAGTTGCCAGTGGAATGCTAGGTCTCTGTAGACAGTACTGCATGTGTGAATCAGGATCTGAAAGTACAAGTACATTGTGCCTGCCACCATATTATACTAAGAATGTCAGTGCAGAATCAATGTAATGACCACATAAGGATCAAGAGTGAGATCAATGCAGCAAATAACAAATAGGCTTTTCCACAAATGATCATCACAGATGATGAAACATTGTGTTTCCTGTGAAGTTCCCCAAAGAAAATGAAAATAATTTCACTACGTATTTGCCAATGACCATTGCCAGGAGCTACAAAGTTCCCAACAGGGTTGTTTAAAGGGAAAGTGATGGGGGATGTTGGATGAACTAGCAAACCATCATGCACCATAAGTTTTTTTCTGAGAGAGTTAGAGTCAGCAAGGAGAAGTATCAAGGAGAGCTCATACATCTTCTGGGAACTCTTCGAGGTGTACTGAAATGTTGTGCACAAAGACCGGATACTCCTGCATGATGGTGCTCCAGCATAACAGTTGCCATTCACCAAACATGGCAATGTACCCTCCTGATGTCATGCCATGCCATGCAATTTTTACCCTTTCTCATGAATTAAGGACCAGATACAGTAAAGGTTGACATGTCTCTTAAGACTGAGATGCAGGTTTCCTATCTCAGAACATCTTGAAGTTACTTCATAACTATTTATTGTAAAGGTAAAGTGCGTGGCACTTGAACATCTGAAATCTTTGCTTTTAGCACAAAGGCAGGTTTCATGTTATGGATATCTTGCCCTTCAGCATCTCCAAAATATATGTCACAATCTATGTGAAGTTGATGTACTCAGTCGTGACATTTATTTGCATCAATATTTTATTTTATGTAAAATTTGTGACTGCTTTTATTCAAGAATATATTTTTACATAGATATCAACATTAAATATGCCATAAGCTCTCCATAACATTCTTATCATGTCCCTTTATTACCCTTGAATTTCTATGGATGACCCTAAGTCTAATGTAACAGATCTTTCAACTAAAAAACAAAGGAAATGAAAATATACTGTTAAAAATTCTGTAATTATAAGTCTGCAGTTCTGATAGTGACATCATGAATAATACATGTCCAGGCTTGAACAATTTCCTTTGAATATTGCTCAGTCTGTATAGCGATGGACTATGAGCTGGATGACCCAGGTCCAATTCTGGGAAGTGCAAGATTTTTTGTATTCTACAAAGAATCCAGACCACTTCTGGGGCCCACCCAGCTTCTTATCTGATGGGTACCAGGCAATCTTTCCCCACAGGTAAAGCAGCCAAGGCATGAAGGTGACCAGACCATTCACCTCCATCTTGTGCTGAAGCAAAGGATGGTAGAGCTATACCGCCACACACCCCATCCTATGGCCACTTATGGCATAGTGCTTAACTTAGCACAGCAAGAACTTTACCTTACCTTACGCTCTGATTATGAAGTTAAAGATATCTTGGGGATTAAATTTTAGTTCCGCTATCACCATGTTCTTGACGCCATAGGCAAAGGTAAAGTTGTCTCTATGCTTAACTAATTAGGCATCACACCATGAAGGTGTATAGGGGAGTGGACATATCAATCCACATTTTTTGACCTCGGCACTAGCTGGAGGTGAGTGGTTAGCTTCACGTCCCGGCCGCTTTATCCCCGGTACCCATTGGATAGCAGGTTGGGTGCACTCCAGAGCCGGTCTGGTTGATGTCGAGAAGCGAAAATTCTTGACAATACCGGGACTCGAACTCCGACCCTCGGTCGTCCAGACCGTAGCAAGTCGCTATACCTACCATACCGACCATACCGACTACGCTATCCCAGCTCTTTTTTTTTTTATGCCAACAGCATGTGGTGTTCCCAAGCGGTCATCCATCCAGGTAGTAACCACACCCAATGTTACTTAACTTAGGTGATCGGACGGTCGTGTACTGGATGAAGATACATGTTGAGAACCAAATCGTACCTCGATTGTAATTTTTTTCTACAAATTATAATCCTTCAGAGCCAAAATGCAGAAAAACAACGGTTTCTAACTACAAATTTTTGTTACATCAATTACATCAATTAATTTCAGCCACTTGCAGTTTATATATTTCATATTATTTCCTATATGGAATTAAAATATTTTGGATTCCACATTTTGAGTTATTGTTATCTACGGAGCTCCATTACAGTGCCTTACATATTGATCGAATTCGTGCTGCTATCTACAAAGTACTAAATATACTACATACAATTTATCACGGCGCGGCCTCTACCGCCTCTACTGTCGGCTACTACATGTCTACTACTATCGACTACTATTACTAAGTTGGTGTTCGGTGGCTTCGGTGGACTACTGAACGGGTTGAGCGATCGTAGATGCTTAGAACTAGTAAACAAATGCGGGTAGTTATCAGACAGTTCGTGATTTTCAATAATTACGTGCTGAGTGGTTTGGAATACTGAAATAATAGATAAATTGTGAGTGGTTAGTATAACGAGGCTCGTTGTATCTTTAATAAATGTTAAGTCTACTGAAAGGGTACTGTGACATACAAATTACAGTGAAGTTGTGTAAGGACCTGAATGTGTGTTATTGAGTGCGATTTGATGTACGTAGGACCAAGAGCACTGCCCACTTCATGAAGTGTTAGTGACATTTATGTTAAAATAATCAGACGCAGTGAAACATGTGTAAAAGTGGGCTGAAGTGTAAATTTGTTCAGAATTATTTCTTTTGTTGTGAAATGATGCAACACTTATGTAGCGGATAGAAGTCATCATTTCTTCGAGCATCAACATGTCAGGTATGTTTATTCATGACGAAGTTTTGAGGTTTGCCGAGAACTTTGCATTGATTCCAACCGAACTGGTTACATGTTTACAGTGTTAGAATTTTTTACAACTCTGTTATAATATTATATTTTTTACCAGACTCAGAACTATAATTCGCATCAGACCTATTCTCAAGAAAAAACAGAATGTATTATAAAAAATTAAAAGATATTTTGATAACTATATACCAGGATTGAAATTATTGAATTGCATCAGATTTCAAATTAGCCAAGCATCTAAACATAATACTAAACATCTTACAGCAGAATACCAGCACACTAGCTCACTCACTGAAGCTTATCAAAATAAACGAAGACGCAGGATTATGTTCACTTAACATCGAAAATATGTACACAAATATTCCAATACACGAAGTCCAAAACATCGTGAAAAGCATTTCAGATAAGAATTATAACATCTCACAGGACATGAAAGTAGAAATTATAAGACTACTAAACACAATTTTAGAACAGAACTATATCGAACACAATGGAAAATTGTACAAGCAGAATGATAGTCTAGCAAAGGGAGCACCGACATGAGCAATTCTAGCAGAAACGTTTATACAACACCTTGAACACACAATAATTATGGACATTTTGAAGGACGTTTCAAATCATAGACTATCATAGATATGTCAGTGACATACTAATATTACTAATACCTTAGATGAATTCAGTAAGATACACCCCAGAATCAAGTTCACAATAGAAGAAAAATTAACAAAATTAACTTCTTGGATATATTCATTACAAAAACTCGTAATAAGTTACAATTAGGAATTTGTAGAAAACCTACAACCACAGACTTAATCATACACGACTCGTGCCATCCATATGAACACACAAAAGAACTCCTATAAATTACCTCATTAACTGAATGAATAAATACCCAATTATGCACAACAACAAAAACAATAAACTATAATAAAGGCAGTACTAGATAATAATAATTACCCACAGAATACTATTCAACAGAAACCCCTGTTTTTTTTTAGGTGAGAACATAAATACCTCAAAGAATAATGTTCCTTTTTGGGAACAATCCCAGGTGCCCATTGGACTCAGTATCTTTTGAATCTATGAAACTGTAATTAACTCATCATTATAGTGTTTGGTTTTGTTTATTTAGTGTCCTAATTTAAAGGCTTTCAAAGCCAGTGCTCCAGTATTGAGCAGTGTTTGAATATTGTCTCGCGAACAGTGTGGTGTGATTGCGTTGCCTGGCCTGCATGTGCCTCCCATCCTATTGAAATACCTGGACCCACCTCCTTTCTGGATTGTTCAGGGAACTGATGGGCTGACAAAAAAAATGGAAGTCACCTATGAACATTTTAAAGCCTTCACTATGGGTGACATGCTCATAAAAGGAGAAGGGGTGGGCTAGTTAGTTAATCAGTGAGTGACTCAGTCAGTGTGCAGTTCAGTGCAATACAGAGCTGAGTAGAATCAAGAATTTGCAGGGCTCTGACCAGTGGTGTTGCTGTGAAGTAACAAGTGAGCAGAGAACTCATTACAGTGGTCACAGATGGTGGGACAGCAATTGATGCAAGTACTTATTATTGCTGCAAAATGGAAACAGTCTTGACTGTTGTCTGATAACATTGAAGTATATTTTCTACATGAGTGAACATCCTAAATCAGAGTATTTCTATAAGTTAAGTTATTGTTTGGAAATTGGACAGAAAGAACATGGTGACTGCATGAAATGTTTTGGTCTGTTGAGTGTGTGAAGAACAGTTTATGGGAATTAACGTAGAAGCATGTTTTATGTGAGTGGTATTAAGCCTTTTATCTTCATGCACCACCAGATATAATTTCTCTTCAAGTTTGTACCCTCAAAGTTGTTGGTGTATAATTCAAGTTATACACAGTCTATAATCTACATCTAAAATAAATTAAGTAAATTACATCCAAAATAACATATTAAATAATAAGTTTCAAATGAGAAAAGGGAGAATGAGGCTATTAAATAACAAATATAGTGTCTCGTGTAGGGTGGTATGCACAACGAAAATGACAGGTTCTAGTTCGGATGACTGGATTTATTAGCACCTTGGTTACACACGACCTCTTTATTACACTTAAATACAGGCAATACAGCATTATCACTGATTTACACACTTTCCTGTTGCACACGCACTAGGATTCTATTTCTTCACTAGTCGTCTCCTAGCAGTGGATCTCAACACAGAAACTGTAAAAGTCTCACTAGGTTAAACACTCCCAGTTCCACTGCACTATAGCACACATAAAGTCGTCTAATTCACATGCAAACTCTTCATAGGCTGACCTCTTGTATTCTTCTGTGCTCCTAGGTTCAGTTTACCCTTCGAGCTTATGACTGACTTCAGCTTACTTCTTCAGCTTCAAGTCACAGTCAAAGTCACATTGTGATTGATGGTCAGTCAGTAAGTTTTGGTGTCAAGCTCCCTCTGAGGCTCATGACCAAATATTTATTACTGTTTGACAGTTACAAGTCTTTTTGTGGGGCGCCCTATCTGACGAGAGGACAGGTCTGTCTTTTACATATGCTGCTGGCCCGTGCCAGCGCAGTCTTTCTCAGGCCCGAGTCCCTTCAGACTTGCAACCATATTTTACTGTTTCAGATTTGAGACTTTTCTTTTCGTCATCTCCCACGACTCTCAGGGTCACGGTGGAAGTATTCGACCCCGCCTCCACAGGGTGGTGGAGGGGTGGTTACTTCGGCTTTGGAATACTGCTCACTTTTATACGCGCGGGACAGACGACGCTTCACACTAAACACGTGTCACGTGATCGCTACCCCCTACTGATCTGTGACGTCACAGCGAGCGCGTTGCATAGCAACGGTCCGTCCGCGAACATAGAAAGCATTGCTCCTGTACTGTTGGCCGCGTGTGTGTTGCGGGCGTTATCTAGCAGCGGCCGATATTTACAATCCACAATATTGTGACATGTAAAGCCGTTGTAGGGCAACAGGTTGTGGAACGAGTTACCACGAAGAGAGACTCTTGATAAACGGTCCGTTGCCAAGTTATGCAACAGTGGAAACGAGATTATGCAACAGTAAGGAAAACGGTGTTTCTCTCGGCAACGTTGTCAAGCAACGCCTCTGTAAACACGGCGTCACGCAACAGTGAAGCGAGGTGCGTTTTCCGTTGTCCGACTGAGGTTTTATAAGAGAAACTGGAATGTAAATACGTGAAGACTGCTGAAGAATGTGTGAAGAGGTTAGTGTATAGGGTTTGTAAATTGTGTAAACCGGCAACAGTGTTATAATCAATTGTTGTTACGACTCGTAGGTTGTTAAATAAACCAATTAACAATCTGAACGGCGTCTTCAGTAGCCAAATACGTTACAATAATGCGACATGACGCCTGAAATCCGGAATATTGAAGCTGGAGCGAGACGTCCATTGCTGGACGACGACTCGATAATCATTTTTCCATTATAACAAATAGCAGTGAATACGTCGTTGCTTAGGTAGCAAGTGTAAACACGTTCCCACAAAGGCAGATTCTTGATAAACAGCTTGTTACTAGGTTACGCGTACAACAATACGCTACAAGAATGAAAGGTGTTTTCTATGTGGTCCGTTAAAGAATAGCCATTGTTGAGATCTGTTAAAGCAGATATGGAAGACCCGATTTTGCATGTTATAGTTGCCGTAATCTGGCCACCTCTGTGGTGTAGTGGTCAGAGTTCCTGGCTATAGATCTTGAGGTCCAGGGTTCGATTCCCGGCGCTACCAGATTTTCTGAGAAGTACTGGGTCTGGAACGGGGCCCACTCAGCCTCGTGAGGATAAATAAGAAGCTACTTGAATGGAAAAGTAGCGGCTTCCGTCTATAAAATCAAAATTAACGGCCGTGTGGATTTCTTGTATTGTAGAAAAAATATTGTAAAAACAAAAAAGGCCTAGGCATTGCCCGTCCGGCCTTTTGTAGCTCATTCTGCCGTGGCGATTCGTTGCGCTGACCACGGGACATCTTCTATCCGCTAAAGTTGGCACTAACTTCGCCGACAAGCGGCGGTCGCTCGGTCGGTATAGTTCGCTTGCGGGCTTAAGCTACGGAGTTTGTTTTGTTTGTAGTTACAGTAATCTTGAAAGTGTTCGGGCAAGGGCACACAAAGGAAACTGGCAAAAGCAATTTCCGAGAATTGTTATCAGCCAGAGTTGAACGCATGTTACTGAATGGAGAAGCGCAAATTGAGGAAACGGCAACGCAGTCAATTTGCGCTGCTCCATTCAGTAACATGCGTTCATGGTACAATAGGCCAGAAGTGGCTGCAGTACAAGGGACTTAGTCCCACTCCACTAGCATAAAAAAAACATAAATCGATTCGCCAATCCAGATGCCATCTACAGGTCACTAATACACGTGACAATATTATTGCCTATAATATAAAAATTAATAAAGGCACAAAGGTATTTTAGTAAAGCAAGATTATATGATTAAGTATTTTATCAATTATTAATGTTGTTCTGAACTGTTATTGATGTGATTGAGCTTGTTACTGGCATGCCGGCACCTCAATTTGGGGACAACTTTCAGTTTTATATACCCCATAAGATGTCTTCGTGTACCCCAGGTTGAAGGCCATTGTTTTATGTGACCATATAATAAATGAAAATATTTTTTAAGGATCTGTACACTTTTTTAGTTTGAATAGCAGTTCAGCAGATGTGATTTATAAGTCAAAAGGTTTTTTGTCGATGGTGTGTTTTTAAACAGGCACATATGTTGAAAATTTTCCACCATCTTCTTTTTAGATTAAGAGCACAAAGTATTGGAAGTTTCAAAACAAGATTCATTCTTTTACCTAATGACAGTGGGGCACGCAGTAGCATAGTTGGTTGAGGCAGAATGGTACAAGCCAGAAGATCATGGCATCAACTTCAGGTGAGGTCATTGGATTTTTCAGTTGACCTAATCCTTCCAGCCACACTATGGCCCTGGGGTCCACTCAGCATCTAGCAGAAATGAGTACCAGGAATTTCTTTTTTTTGGGGGGGGGAGGTGGGGCGGGGGGTAAAAGAGCAGCTGACAGCCTTGCTGCCATCTATGAGCCAACTATCTAGAAGATGTGGCAGCCTCAACCTCTCTCACCCCTATGGGCCTTCATGGCCTGTTACAGAGACACCTTTACCATTACATTTTACCCAGTGACATTATTATTTATTGAAATGAAATTTTTTCATTGTAACATATATATCTTTAAGAGATGCATCCTGTTCTGTGTTAGTACCATACATACTAAATACTATGTAAACTAAGTTAAATAAACTGCATGGTTTTAGTCCGCAAGCGAACTGTACCGACCGAGTGACCGCTGCTTGATGGCGAAGTTGGTGCCAACAAACTAAGTTGTGCACAGTGAAATGTGAGCAAGTCATTTAGTATATCGTTGCATTTGACAGGAAAATCAAAACTCATAAATAGTGGCATGTATGTACTTATATATTGTTACAGGCAGAAGACTGTTGCAAGATCAGACCTAACTTCCTACTTAAAAAAAGTATGCCCAATATGCTGTCAGTTCTGGAAGAGGAGTCGGATATATATGAGGTTTTTCCACCTCACGTTGACACAAGTAGTGTTCCTATCCTGACGGATAGTCCTACAAAAAAGCCTGCTCTCAAAACGTACAACGAACTTTATGGCCTCTTACAGTCAGGAAGGAAACATGAAGTGAAGCGAATTATCAGAGACAATGCCTGGCCAATAAATAGCACCATCCGTTCCCAGTTGTGGCCAGTTCTCTGTCAGCAGCATGCACATGACAAATCCATCCTTGAAGGCTTTTACTGGGATATGGTCAACCAGATATTTGGTACAACAGGTGAGTGAGACTATAGTCTTTTATATCCAATTCAGAATACCCTGTGTTTGTATTTTATGTGAGGGATGCTTTCCTGAAGACCTCACTTAATTCAAAACAACTTTTGAAACGTGTATGTGATTCTTGCTGAATTTTTTTGTATTCACATTATTTCAAATTTGCATAAAATGAGATCACACTGTATATACTAAAAACATCAATAAACTTGACAAGTTTTGAGATTCTTTGCCAGTCTTGTGAACGTATTTCATTAGTCATATTTGTAAAAACCTGACTGAACCAACATTTTATGTATCTGACCAAAGAACACCATTGTGTTTTCCGTGCTTGAATCTGTACTTCACTTCTTTCAGCACTGTTACGATTGGCCTACATAGCTGGGATTTTGAGGGACCTGCTTCAGGAAATACTTGTACCTTCCTTAATAAAATTCTTGGATTGCATGCCTTGGTGGATATTTCGCACAATAAATAAATAGCAGATCATTCCTATATACATGTGTGTATCCATATATATGTCCTTTATTGTGTTTCCATGTGGCAATTCCTTCCCGGTAACTGACTGGGATATAAAACCATGTAGTCTGCTGAATGTCAGTTGACATTTACCAGACTACATGGCCATTATGCACATATGTGTTTGTCATGCAAGATTATGATATGAGAATAACACTAACACAGTTTAAAGTAATCTTCAGTTTCTGTACATTGACAGTTTTTAAAAAAGAAAATGAAATTATTAATATACTTTTTAATGAACATAACAAGCAATGATGTGAAGTATTTTGGAGTGGCAGTGAATAATTGTCTCTTGGTGCTAGTATACTGACATGTTATTAACATATTTCTTGGGAGTATGAATAATAAGTACTGTTGAAACTTACTTGGTTGAAGCTTTTGGAACCCTGAATCCACCATAATGACTAACAGAGAATGTCTTTGTGTAATGAAGTTTTGTTGTTATTGTGTTGCAGAACTTCCTGACAAGCCGATTCTCCTGCCGCAGTTTGTGGAGAGTGGGTACTGTATTGCATATCATTTGACCAGGAAAGGCAGAAGTGTTGCTGACAGAGTAGTGTGTGTGATTGGTTATGCTCACCCTGAAATTACATACAGTCCAGCAATATATCCAGTTACTGCCATCCTTCTGCATTACATGACAGGTAAGCTTCATTTATGCAATGAGAAGGAGTGGAAGAGAGTTACAAGATGGGTGCAATGTTGACATATACACTATCACATTACAGTCTTATGAACATTCATAGCTCCATATATATTACCGTCTTAGGTGCGATGTTTATTTTCTTTCTCATATACATCGTATCTTACTATAGCGTAAATGGGCCGGTCTTCATAACAATAATATCTACAAAATAAAGACAAAATAGATATTAACGTATCAACATTTGTTTTTGTGTTATTTATTATACACAGGTGTTACGCTACATGTTTCGACCTTCCAGAGGAGTCACTAGAATATCATTCTGAGTTCTTGAATTGAGTTACCTTAATATGGATCCATATTTTACAATCTGATTTCGTTTTTAATAGCGAATATACCTTTATAATATTTAACCTAACATTACACCCAAGAACTCTGGTAATACACGGTTTTATCTAAGTTTAAGAAAGTTTAAGACTAAATAGTCATAAATTGAGCTTGGTACTAAAAATAGTTCTTTTAGTGTAGTTGTTATGATCGTGGTTGTTGGTTGATGAATCGTGTGATGATGCAACATGAGGCGGTCCTTCTTCAAAGCTCAGTCATGTTGATTTTATTTCAGTCATCATGTAAATGATTATACACTTGTTAGTGTCACTCCCGGATAGTTTTGTTTTTCATATGTGTATAGTTTAAGTGCTTTGTGTTTGTTTTTGTGTATGCTAAGGGGGTCCTCATTGTAGTAGTTTTATTCAACAGTGCAGAGAAGAGAACTCTTTTGAAATGTGCCAGTTTTGTGCAGTGAGTGTGGCTAATGATTAAATAAACTTTGCACTATTTCAGATGAACAATATTAAAAATGTTCTCTTTTATCTAACATTTATTCTTACATATCTTGGACAGCAATAAATTATTTATATCTTTGGCATGATGATTTGGATTTGTATGTACAAAATGAAGCTGCCTCTTATTTTCAATAGAACAATATATTCTTACATATCTTGGACAGCAATAAATTATTTATATCTTTGGCATGATGATTTGGATTTGTATGTACAAAATGAAGCTGCCTCTTATTTTCAATAGAACAATATGTTTGCTAGTAGTAAAATGTCTTGAACATATAAAGATTTGTAAGTTAAGATCATACTCACTTCCTTTCCATATATATGTGTGTGTGTGTGATACAAAGGTATATAATTATCACTAGGTGGTTATGTGTAGTCTGTTTGAAATATAATGTTTCTAATTGAAATTAAAATTCCTTTGAAGAAAAATTAGCCATATAGAAGAAAATCAACATTCCATACATATGAACTTGTTAAATGCTAATTTGATTTAATACTAACATGTAGTAATTGAATTTTGCTGCAGTATGGGCAGTAGTAAATTTAATCGTCCATGAAGTAATATAGTGTCATGTCAGATTGTTGTTTCTGCAGGCTTTATTTGTGCTGGTTTGGGTGTGCATTGTGTGACAGATGAGTGCATGTTGTCTTGTAGGTTAGCAATGTTTTCGTTAGTTTTTGGATTGGTAACAGATATAACCGCTGGGCATATGCTGAAGTTTCATTTGATAACAGCGATAGAAGAAAATGATGCAGAGTACTGAAGTCTGAAACTTGAAGTGGCTTAGGTACTACATTTGATGTCTATCAATGTGATTACAGTTGCGGTATATGGTTGTTTAGGATGAATAGAGAACCTTACCTATAACATCCATAATTTACTGTTGATTACTATGAAAATAGGAGCCAGGTTAGCGTGGTCGGTATAATAACTGGCTACAGGCTAGACGACCAAGGAGTTGGAGTTCGAGTCTCAGTAGGGTCAAGAATTTTATCTTCTTCGCATTGTCCAGACCAGCTCTGCGGTCCACCCATCTCCAATCCAATGGTTACCAGGGCTCTTTCCCTGGGAGAAAAGCGGCCTGGGCTTTGAAGCTGACCAATTACCTCCAGCTAGTGCCGAGATCAAGAAAATGTGGATCTATACATCCATTCCCCCATACGCCATCATGGCGTAATGCTTAATTAGTTAAACACGGACAGCTTACTATGAAAATGGATAGAATTTTTCTTTGTAGATGCATGTATTTCTGCATGAATTTATATCTTGTAGTATTAAATATATTGTAACGTGTTTCGTTACTGAAGACGCCGTAGAGATGGTTAATTGGTTTATTTAACAATCTACAAATAATGGCTACAATTAATTATCACAATATTACGGGTTTCCACACTTTACAAACCCTACAACAAAATCTCTTAACACAATCTTCACTTGTCTTCACGTACTAATAACGTGGGAGCTATACAAGTCTCCCTGAAATACACACTCCGAGTATATCTGTACTACAGCACTCACTATGTCTGGAAAGCACACAATAAGTCTTCCGCTCGCTGACTTCTTAGTTATCGCACACTCGCAGGCTGCTATGTTTCAACTGACTCGTAGCTGCTGTGCAGTCCGCTTATATAGCCGTACGCTGTTGCTGGTGTGACGTGGTGTATAGCCTAGGACGCTGTTGCTAGTGTGACGTGGCGTATAGCCTAGGACGCTGTTACTAGGGTGACGTGGCGTATAGCCTCAAGGTTGCAGGGACTCGGCTAACGTCGGCTCCGCTCGGCTCACTTCGGCTCCGCTCGTGACGTCACCGCGCGTTGCATAGCTGCCAGGATGCAGGGTGATTACTCGCCTATTACGCGAGCGTTACGTTACCGCTACGTGCAGCTGGGGAGGTAGGGGTCAACATGTCACAATATGTTGCATCTAACTGAGCAGTTCCAAATTAGTTATGAGAAGAAATATATTACTGAGATGTCATCTCCATGAAGCAAGAAACAAGTGTACATTCTAGAAGAGTGGGCTGCAATATCATGTCTCTTGATAACTTCAGGGCCTTGGTTCATTTAGTTCCCTTTGTTAAATTATCCACACCCACAGCTTGAGGAGAGCCAGGCAAAGTGAAAGTATTTCCAGTGTCTACTGGGAACCTCAACATCTCACAACCTTATGGGCCTCCACGGCTTGTTACAGGGATACGTTTACTTTTTTTCCCACTGGAACTGCATAATACCAACATATGAAATATATAATGTGTCTGCGTTTAATGATTTATGTCAATATTCATATCTGTGTTTATTTTCAGTGTTAGTTTTCCCCCTGGACCGTGTCGCCCCATGGACAGATCTGTTTGTGTGAAGGGAACCTTGTCCCTCTTCCTGTAAGATTGTCCATGATTTTATTATTTCATAATGCTCATAGTTGTTTCATTTTCTGAATGCCAGGCAATGACATACGTATCACATGTTGAGTGATGCAGGGGATATGTTGTAGGACTTAGTTTTAGGACAGAGTGCTCAGAGTTAGTGTGCATTGTTTAGTGCTGATGCCTAAATGAAGATGCTGACTTAAAAATATAAATTTATTTCAGAGAGAATGCATGTGATTGAAAGGTTTTACACTGTTTTCAAACTTGTCTGCAGTTAATGGTGTAGAAGTGTTGGAAGGTTTTTACAGTCAAATTTTGTCTTCACCAAAGTATTAAAATATACTTTTATGGTTCTTTACATTTGAGAGTCATGCAGAATGATGAATTGCATGGTCCTATAACCAAGCCATTCAGCAGATGTTATGATGTGCTCTCCTGTGTCCCTGTCGTTTAATGAATTCTTTATACAGCTTTTGTTTCTATATATTGCACTGCTCTTTCCCCTTCCAGTGGTTATGAAAAATGAAGCCCATTACTGGGCTTTATTTGCCTCCACATATTCAGTGAGCATTGACCATTTCCTATTAAGAGATATAATAACAATGTTAAGTACACATAATTGGGAATGTAAAAATAATCTTGCTGATATATTCTAATTGTTCTAATTGGTGATGGGAAGCTGTCCATAGGCCTTTAGCTTTGGATGTGTAGATGTGATGTTTACTTGTTCAATTACTGCCTCGCATGTATATGTGCATGTGAATATAAATACCCAGATGCTTGGCCTTGAGTGTTGAAAGCCATATGTAGACGCTGAAAGCTGTTTTGAAGCTGTTCTGTTTGTACTCCTTCATTAACATAAAAGTGCCTGCATGTCATCCAAACACAGAATTATAACAACATTCATCACAGTATAAAAGTGTGCACTTTGTTCATACTGATTCACTTCATCATGCCTGTCTTGTGAATCCATAGTTTTTGGAATGTAAATAATTTTACCTGATTTCAGGCCAGTTTATTTTAATTTCTACAGATTTATGTAAAAATACATATAATTTCAGACATATCTGAGCTTCCCAGTTTTGTGAGAATATGACACAATGATATATATATATATCATCTTGGGTCCCCAACTCTTCTTCATCTTTCTACACATTGACTGTAAACAGTTTTATAAATTCATATGTTGTATAGGTAGTAACATTTTTCCTAATTTAGTTATTTAATGACACTCTCAGTATCAGGACTATATAGCAGCAGATAATGGAATGATTAATGAATGAGGAGCAGTCAAGGAATGAAAATTGGCAGGGGAAACCAAAGTACTCTGCCACTTTGTCTGTCGCAAATCCCAGATGGCCTGGCTTGGGGTTGATCCTGGGCTGCTGTAGTGGGAAGCTGGCAGTTAACCACCTGAGCTATGGCATGGCCAATGTAATAACAAGGACATGTTACAAATAAAAAAGAATGAAATTGGCTGTAAAAGCAGATATGTGCGACAAGTCACATAAATTAAACTCTCACTGTGCAAAACCAAGAAAACAGCTCTGCAGGCATGAATTATCCTTTTTTAGAATGTGGCCCTCTGAGTTTTGGCAGTCTTGTGCATGGTTCCCAACATTTCAGAGGAGTCTGCTGCCTCTGACTTTAGGGTAGAGGTTAGTAGAGCTAGGGTATGGTTGGGTTATGCAGGAAAACTGGAGGATGGGAGAACAAAAAGGTTTGGCAGTCCGAGCCCATAACTAGTGCAGAAGAGGTGGAGCTTTGAAGAGCAGAATATTCTGGAA